AAATTATGATGTAAAAATATTTTAAAAATTAATTCAAAATATTACCATATTTTCGCCATATCCGAAAAGTATGTGGAGTTTTAAATAAATAATATCGAGAAGGTCCTAAAATTTTAATTTTGTATTTTAGTATGGAATGTCATTTTTCATAATCAACAAAAAAACTCATGCGATTTTTCGCCGTTTTTGTTTTATTTAAAAAATGGTGAAAATAGTCAACTGATTTTGCGGTGAATGTACTTTGATCTTGTTCTCTGTTTTATTTGTTTTTTTTTTTGTTGGTTTTTTCTAAAGCAGTTTCTCTTGGGTTTTTATCCTGTTATTAACTGGAATTCTAATCTATATATAAAACTATACATAAAAGTATTCCAGTCACTTTAAAAAATCAGTGGTGAGGTTACTTATCTCACTCTCAATTTTGACTGATGATCCAATTTAAGACAATAAGAGAGATGTAAGGGAGGATGATAAGGATGATTTTTTAAATGTCAGTCACATATATTTTTTTCTAAATATATTAAACAGTTTTAGTCTATTTCAGATAGGAAAGCTTAATTGCCAGCCAATTTTGTATATATATATATATTTTATAATTATTCCTTTCCTCATAAAAATATGTGGTATTTTTGTCTTCAGATTTAGAAAGTTTTACCAAGGATGAATTATTTTTTCTGGCTTAACTCAAATTTGGATTTATATAGGCAATTTTTCTATCCATCCATTGGGAAACAAAATACCAAATAATAAGTTTTGTAAAAAACTCTGTCTAAAACCTTCAAAATACCTAATTTGAGGAAGTACCATTATATATTTTGCAAGGAGAAATTCCCAAAATACCTAAAATTTGGAACTGCCGTTATATACGGTCAATACTTAATGGTGGATTTATCTTCACAAAATTAAGCAGGGAGAGATTTTGTCCGTTCAGAATTCAAAATGTCAAGATACTCATGATTGCGTTTGAAATTGTGGCCGAAACCTTCATAGTACCAAAAAAACAGGAAGTAACGCTATATGGGGGCCTTACCGAAACGTGGGCCGATATGTCCCATTTTTGATGCCAAACATTTTAGAGGTAAAATTTCAGAGCGATAGAATGCTACCCTGAATTAATCTCCGTTTTTGGGCATCTCGCCCCACTGTGCGGCGGGCCGTAATGTTAAGGTTCCTGATTCGCAAGACCGATTAGCCCACAATCGAAACCTCAGCAATTGACCATTGTCATCAGAGAAGAAGCGACACTTTTGCCACAACAAAATGTATTGACAATAAAAATATATTCTGACCGTCAGGCTCTTTCAGTTTCTAATTAGCAACAGGCAACAATGAACAATTGGTGTGTTGCCAGTTCATAATTATTGTTGTTAGCCTTTGTGCAACCATAACGAACGAAGTACAAAGTCGTAATAACAGGTAGTAGAAAATTAAATTTGAAATTGAACATTCTGTCGGCCTTTACAATCCGCCGTGTTGCAAATTTTAAGTTAGTTACTTTCACGCGAAATCGTGGAGCACGATCGTGCTATGCTTCGAAGAGGAACTGATCGTATCATAAAAATCGTATCACAAAATAAAAATATTTTTTTAATTCTATTTTTCATTTGCGTTCATAGACAATGTTTGCGCTCGTAGAGAAAGATCGTGCAGTGCCTCGATGACCTCCTAATCTTCCAAAGGTTCCGCTCGTCGAGTCCAATGTGGCGAGACCACTGATATCTTCTGGAGGAACTCCAGGGACCGTTAAAGACGAAATTTGTTTTGAATTTTCTCCAAGGGAGGTTCTGCTTCATCCGTTGTGTATGCGGCAGGCAACATTTGGGAGATCAGCGCAGCCATCGAATTGTGGTCCCTTATTGTATATGGGACGTAATCCGCACACTATTGTCCCAACCATCATTCTAAATTTTGCAACTCATATGAAACGCAGAGAGGAAGCGAAAGTGTTAATAGGAACAAACTTTCTGTAAGAAGGTGATTCAAATCTTTCCACGAAGACACATACATTTGTATAAAAGCACCACGATTTTTTTATGCAATCTCTGAAGACAAAGGAGGACTTTAGTCGACACCTTATAATTTGACATTGACCAAATACAACCGTTTATGCATCTAATTTATATATAATTTTATAAATCCTGCACTAGTTTTTTTGTCTAATACTGGAAGGTTAAAGAAAAGCTGTGGTTGGTGGTTCACCAAAAATACGAGGATGTTGATATCAACGCACCACATGCCAAACTAAAGTTTTTGTGTGTAAGCGTAAATTTGACACAATTTCATGGGCATCACGACTAGTTTTACCTCTAAAGGAGGTATATGAGATTTAGGTGAAGTTGCTACACCAGGTGACTTTGGGGGAGACCTTTCTGTTAATGGACGCTGGAACATTTAAAAACATTTGTAGGCGACATCGTATTTGATGTCGGCGGCTGAAATTTCATCCTCATTATATTTGTTATCATCATATAATCAAGACATTTGTAAGACTTTAGTTCCCGCTATTGTTTATAAAAAATAAGTTTCTGAACGTAGGCCAGGAAAGTAAATCGCCATTGAACACTTCTATGTCATAGGGTGGCAAGTTTAATCTGAGACCGGAATTTTCATTGCCACAGGTTGCGAAAGATAAACTTTTCGAAAAGTCGGATCGATGTGAAACATTCTAAATGTAGCTGTATCCTCTGAACGAGGTAATGAAAAGTAACCTTAATAAGATTTAGGTGAAGTTGCTACATCAGCTGATTTTGGCAAAAAACATTTAAAAAACCTTTGTAGACCACATAGTATTTGATGTCGACGGCTGAAATGTCTCCCTCATTAGAATTTTTATCATCATATAGATAATCATAGATTTTGTAAAACTAGAGTTAAACTTATTCCCATAATGTTCCGATCTCAGCTCCTTGTAATTCTAGGATGTAAACATTGAGCTCATGCTCCCGTTGGAAACTGAAATTGGCATTAAATTTTAGCAACGCATTATTAGCTCAGATGTATAAATCCAAAGAAGTGAGTGGCATTTTGAATGCAAAATTAGAAGTAAGAAAAGAGAAAAATGAGTTTTAACGTGATCTAAGAGATATAATATCATAAATTAATTAAAGAAATGGTTCTCTCAGTGTATTTTAAATATCGAAAATTATTTACATTGTATCGTAAAATACACGTACACTGTGGCAATCGTAAATAAAAAATAACCCTAAAAGAAAACCAGTAAAGAAAGTCCTAAAGCCGGGCGGGCCGACTTTATGATACCCTACACCACTTTGCAAATTAAGTAGAGCTCCGCATAACAATTGAAAGTTCTTATGGGAGAACTGAATCATACATGCTATGATTATAATTATAATTTAAAGTTCAAAGTACTAAATATGCCGAAGCATTTGTATCTTTTAAATTCGGACTTGTATTGCCCATTTGGTGCACAATTAATTTTAAATCGGATATAAATATATATGGGAGCTATATCCAAATCGGAACCGATCTCGGTAAAATTTGGCAAATATATTTCTGAGCTGTTTTTGATATATTTCCCTGAATATTGTTGTTACGGAGTGCATATTACGGCTGTGGGTAACAAATATAACAAATCGGATGAACAGTATATATGGGAGCTATAGCTATATCTGAACCGATCCTCACCAAATTTGACATACTAGCTTCTAGACTCAATTCGGTCGTAAGTGCCAAATTTCATCCCATTTAGGCAAATATTAGTTATTAAAGGTAAATTGGACGAAGTTATATATGGGAGCTATATCCAAATCTGAACCAATCTCGATAAAATTTAGCAAATGTATTTCTGAGCGATATAGATATATCTGAACCGATTTCGATCAAATTTGGCATACTTATTTTCAGGTACAATCTGATCGTACGTGCAAAACTCAATACTATTCGGACCGATATTACACGTTTGGTGCATAATAAAAGACAAATCGGACGAAGATATATATGGGAGCTATATCTAAATTTTGACCGAGTATCTCCAATTTCAATAGGGTTCGTCCTTGGGCCAAACAAATGATTTATGCAAAATTTCATCTGGATAGGGCAACAAATGCGAACTGTACTTTGTTTACAAAAATACATGGACAGACGGACTGACGGACATGCATAAATCGACTCAGAATGTGATTCTATGCAGATCATCTAAAGGAACTATGTGTCTATCTCGTTTCCTTTTGCCTGTTACAAACAAATGCACAAAGACATAATACCCTGACCACCTTGTGGTGTAGGGTATATATATTAGCTCTTCCAACACTAAAGCTCTTCCAATCGTTCAGCTTAAAACAAGAAACACAACAATTTGCTTAAAAAGTTCACAGAAATAAATAGTAATATTCGAATTAAAAGTTATTAATAAAAATATCACTATCAATAAATAAAATTATGATAAATTATCGTGAATACATCTATTCTATGTGATCAGCTATCATTTATTAGTGAGTGTCAATGTTGTAGGTTACACGAATATGCCGATCGATCGGTCCAATGTTTGAGAAGCAATAATGAAAGCACAAAAGTTAGAGAAAAATAAAAACACAAATTATTCATATTAATTCAACTGAATATTGGCCTGTAATAGTTTTGCTGCCTTTTTTTTGTGTTTCTCTTCTTTATTACCCCAACCCCCACAGTTCACAGCTTCCTAACACGGACGCACACCCAAGTCAGCAAATAAAATAAACGAAAAATTTTGACTTCAACAGAGTCTGCGTATCGATTGAAATATTTATTTCATTCGCATTTTATATTAAAACCACCCGAAGGTAATAATGTATACCATATAGAAGTATTGTTATGTTAGTCATATAGAACAGAAAGAAAAAATATGACAAATTCCGTGACAATTGATTTAGATTTTAAAACGTAAAATGCCTTTAAATTTCGTATTATAAAGCACGGCTCAAAAAAGAGAATTTCCATATATTAGAGTTGGCAATTTGAGATAATTCCAGAAGTCAATGAATAAGTGTATTTCGATTTTAACTTACCGCAAGCATTCTACATTAAGTGGGCGCCCATTTATGTGGTCAGAACAAGCTCCTATTGCAAAACTTGGTGTAGGTAAAATTTGCCGATGGGAAGACATTTTTACAGTCGAATTAGTACTGCACGGTGATATGCATGTAACATTTTTATTTGCATTTTCCTTGTGTTTAAGACGAATTTTATCCATTTCGCACACCTTGCACTCGATTCCCTGTTTCTCACCATGCAGAAGACACGAATTGCCAAGAGAAGACAAGAATTCTTTCCCTGATGTAAGAGTAATATCATTTCGTTGTTGTTGATGTTGTGCTAGAATATTATGTTGTATGAAATCACTTATACTTTGTACATTACCAAAGTTCTGTTCAGTGCTTAGAACGAACCACGAAGCATGTAAAGCACTCATTTGGAGGGACTGGCCTGTCACATTAGTTTCCGAATCCTTGTTTGGCGTCCAGATAATGTTCTTATCATCATTCTTTGTAAGTGAGTAGCCCGATATTGGTCTTTGTTCATTTGTAGTAGGTTTGATTGCAGCATTTGAATCACTGTTGTTAACATTTTGCATCTTGTAAATCGGCGAGTCTTTTGAGTGCAGATTCTTATCGCACCTGTTGCTTGCTGGTACCAGAGATTTATCGATTGAAAAGTTTTCCATAGAAATGGATGAGGGGTCATCGTCACTATTTGTGAGCTGCTTTTCAGATTCTGAAGTTGTAATCATGTACTTCGACTCTGAGTTGTTAGGCTCCAAAAATGATATTTGTGGGTTTTCATCCATACTTCTTTGAATTATGGCGCTTGCGTTATTGCGATTGAGAAGTAAAGCTCTTTCGAATTCTTTCAAGTATATCCCGTGTTCTTTATTTGCGTGCACGACAAAGAGTTTTGTAACACCAAAGGACAACTTACATATAAAACACATTAAAATCGGTTTCAGAGATTTAAGGAGTGTGTTTCGTATTTTATGGTAGCGAACAGAAACATCGCTGGCTTTAATAATTTTAAATGTGTGAATTCTTGGATTAACTTGCCGCGAATCTGACGAAGTATGTGGTGATGACGCCTCTGACCTTGACGTAAACACAGGAACGCTTTCAGTGTCTACTGTGAACATTTAAAGGAGAAACCTTCTTAATATTTTGGACACTGTGAAAACTCCTTAAAAATAAATATTGTTAGTGTCCTCTTGCACGATTGAAAGTAATAAATACGGGAACTATCATTTATGTTAGAAACTTTATCACCATTCAAAAGATTCCTTCCTGAAAGAGTTAGATAAATATTACGCATAATTTTAGTTAATATTATAAAACATATATATATATATATATATATATATATATATATATATATATATATATATATATATATATATATATATATATATATATATATGTATATATATATATATATATATATATATATATATATATATATATATATTTTGCTAGAAGGCAGGTTAAGTTGGGCCATTCAGGTCCACGTTTTTATATAGCCCCGTGTAACGGTACTTCCCGATATTCGGTATTTTGATGGTTTTTGTCACATTTTTTCACGGATTTATCTAAAAATTGGTATTTGTTGGTCATAATAGTTTCTAATGTTTCCTTTACCATAAGGTGGAGAGTATTAACAGTTTGTCCCGGCCAAACATAATGTTTTTTATTTATGTGTTTGATTTCTCTTTCGAGACGAGCTTAATGATCTGAAATTTGCAGTGAAAAGGAAAGCCAGATAGACACTATCACACACTCACCACTATGCGACGCGTTTCGCCGTTGGTTAAGCGGCTCATCAGGCATATTTGGTGTGGATGATGGCTTACAAGGGCCGTTCTCTGGAAAGTAGTATATATTTCGAACTTATTGCAAATTAGCATATGTGAATTATACACTACAAACTCTCCAGGTTCGACTGAAGTTCTATTTGAACCGCGGACCTCGGTGTGCAGCCAATTAGAAGTTGCCGTCTCTACGTTCAGAGCCATTAACCCATCTTCCTAAAGTAGCACTAAAACAAGTGTATGCATTGGAAGCGATGTAGTTGTTGTGGACAAAAAATCCATCACTACAAAAACAAAAACTTTGCTGTGAAAAAGATCTGTCAATAGAACTTGAGTCGAACCTGTAGAGTTTGTAGTGTATAATTCACATATGCTAATTTGCAATAAGTTCGAAATATATACTACTTTCCAGAGAACGGCCCTTGTAAGCCATCATCCACACCAAATATGCCTGATGAGCCGCTTAACCAAAAAGAATGTAAATTAAATTTATTATAAATAAAAATTATAATAAAACGTTGTATACTTTCTCTTGTTTGGATGTGTAGTGTCGATGTAGGGTAGAACTTCCGGTATATATTTTCAAGTAACTTAAGGTAAAGAATTCTTAACAATTCGCTGGAAAATCAGTTATAATCCACAAATGTTATAAGCCGGATATCAGCAAAATGTGAAATAATTATAAATTATACTCTCTGGCTTTTTGTAGGGAGTATTTGAAATATGGCCTATATTACTATGCATACTAAGTAAAGCTTCTAGGAAGAATATAATGAGAATTAGATTGAAGTAATATAAGCTATATTTTTTCGAATCGATTTGCACTAAATTATACGTAGGTATTTGTGTGCTGTAGCAACTTCTAGTTCCAAATGTCATTGCTGTACCACATACTATGCACATATTTTTCAATGTGGGTGCGGCGCTGCGAAAACTTACCAATTAAAAAATACTCTACATTTATCAATTTTCCAGCCGACATAAAATACAGCATATGTACAATTCAGTGATCTTGTGCATTGCCAATAATGTGGAACATATTATTAAATACAAACTGAAATCGAAACTACATCCAAAGAATAATTTTGTTCTCCCAGCTTTAGAGAGTGACTTAAATGCCCAACCGGATGAACCTTATATGCGGGAGCTATACTTTTGAAAGTTTACCTCGTTTCCTCAATAAAATTCCATTGGCTCTAAGTGCAGTGTTAGCACGTTTGTTCGGAATACCGTAGTTACTTTGTTGTTACAAAATAGTTGGACTTAATCATAATATATATATATATATATATATATATATATATATATATATATATATATATATGTATATGTGCACTATATATATATATATATATATATATATATATATAAAATCTTTCTCCATTAATACACAAATGTTGTTTTTATAAAAATAGTTATTATGACATTAAGCCTAAGTCCAACTATTTTGTATAATTTAGTGCAAATCGATTCGAAAAAAAATATATATATATATATATTTATATATATATTATTTATATATATATATATATATATATATATATATATATATATATATATATATATATATATATATATATATATATATTTATTTATATATATATATATATATATATATATATATATATATATATATATATATATATATATATTTATATCTACACATCCAAACGAGAGAAAGTATACAACGTTTTATTATATTTTTATTTATAATAAATTTAATTTACATTCTTTTGCAAGTGTGTTCCACTTTCGGTTGTTGCTTTTAATAAAATAAGTTTTGATAATGTTTACAATTCAAGTAATGGCAAAAACTATAGCATCTTTTACAATTCGGAATAAAACCGTGATTTGTTGCCAGATTGTAATTTTTTGTTTTCGAGTTATTTTTTAACTATTATAAAAGCAATTGCAGTATTCTTTTATTCAAACGATATACTTCAAAATGGAGAAAGGAGACTTTTTGAAAAATGAACTAGTCTCTATTCTAAATTTCATCAAATGGATTGAAAAGGCAATAGCAAAGAAAAAAATTATAAGATTATGGCCAGTTCCTATATTTCCCTTTATAGTCCACTTTTGTTATCCCTTACTTTAGGGAAAGTGAAGGACAACATTCACATTATTGGGGGCTCATTATTACATTTTTCCTTTAAAATATATGTATTTTTACAGAGATATGACAAACCTTTTGTAATAGTAACCGGTACTCCTTGAATTTTTTTCCACAATGGCATCTTCATTTTATTTTAAAAGTAATAGGAAAAAAGTAAAAAACATTAAGTTTGGCCGGGAAACATTAGAAACCATTATGACCAACAAATACCAATTTTTAGATAAATCCGTGAAAAAATGTGACAAAAACCATCAAAATACCGAATATCGGGAGGTAATGTTATATGGGGGCTATATGAAGACAGACAATTTTCTCTCACAGGCTGTAGTATACATTTCGGACTTTAAATACCAAATTAGAAACAATTCCGGTGAATAATGTCGCTAAGATCATCAAAATATCGAATATCGGGAGGTACCGTTACACGGGGCTATATAAAAACGTGGACCTAAATGGCCCATTTTCGAACTTAACCTGCCTTCTAGCAAAATAAGCATGTGTGCAAAATTTTAGCCTACTTTCTCATTTAGTTCGAAAGATAGCGTGATTACAACAGACAGACAGACGGACATCGTTAAATCGACTTAGAATTTTACGCTGATCAAAAATGTATATACGTTGTTGGGTCTGACATGAGTATTTCGAGGAGTTACAAACAGAATGGCAACGTTAATATACTCTCAATAGTATGTTGGAGGGTATAAAAAAACATAATTATTTATGCAAAATATTAACCTGCTTAGTTGTAAGTAGCGAGTTACGATACCCATACTGCCACACAATCGTGGCACTTTGTCCACCTGCTAATATTCTCTCGCATTAACTTATTCACAACGATATCAGATTTTTTTCTGTAGACTGCAAATTTAATTTCTGGAATCCGCGACTTTAATAAATGTAACAGTCTGTCCCACGATATCGAAAGAACATTTATGCAAACGAAAACTAGTCACTCACTTTCGTATCAGAATGCGTTCCCCTAAATATCGTTCGTTCTTTCGCATAGCCTTATATGATTTACAGCCTGTTCCACGATATCGAAAGAACACGTTCGCAAAACTTTTACACGACAAACAGCTGACTTCCGTTCCACTAAAATCCATCAGAACGAAAATTTGCACGAAAATCAAAGCGAACGAAAACGTAAGCGTTTCAGTGTAATTTTGCGTTCCACTATCTTTTTTCTTTCGTACGCATGCGAACACAAACGTCAAAATCAGTCACTTGTGTGTTTGCTGTCGAATGATAAAGATTAAGGAAAATTGTTTTAACATAAACATTCCTTGATTGAAAATGGAAAGAAAAATGTAAGTAAAAATAATAAATGCAATTTAATCTGTGAACAACAACAAATATATTTTTTTTATTTTCTCAATTCCAGCACGAAAAAACTACACAGCTTCGGGCACTAGTTGAGTATATGGGGGAGAATCCTAAGTTCGCCAGAGGAGTGTCAATTTTTGGAAGCAGCAGGCAATCCCTTGAAGACCACTGAAAGACACAAACCTAGAAAAAATCATTTTTTTTTTATTATTTCAAAAATGTAAAAATACAATCATATTTACTGGTTGTTAGGTACTTCAAATAAATTCGAAGCATCTCTTAAATGCCTCCGTGTCACAATTTGAACCTCCCCTCATCATCCATAAAAAATAGGGCTACAGAAATATTCATTTTTTTTTTTATTTTTTAAGAACACAAATAGTTTCAACACAATCACTAGAAATTTTATTTTGTTTGTTTATTTACAATTTGTTTGTTTACAACTGAACTGTCAGTTGAGACAGAGCCACTGCTGCTTTTTCGCGTTTAAATTAGACATTTGGCGCTTTTTTTGCCTTATTTCGCGATTAATTTTTCCAAATAATATTTAGCAACACTGAATCACATAAGGCTATGCGAAAGAAAGAACGAAAGTTAGTGGAACTCATTCTTATACGAAAGTGAGTGAGTAGCCTTCGTTCGCACAAATTTTCTTTCGAGATCGTGGAACAGGCTGTTAGTGTTACTAAATATGCCTTGGAAAAAATTAATCGCGAAATTAAACAAAAAACCGCCAAAATGACAGATTTCAACGCGAAAAAGCTGTAAAAAACACAACCATACGTTGGCTCTGCCAGAACTGAGTTCAGTTATAAACAAACAAAATAACGTTCCGAGTTATATTCCGAGAGATATTGTGATCAATTTATTAGTGTCAAGAAAAAATTAAAAAATTAATATTTCATCCCTTAAATATAGAGCAAATTTAATGGATGATGTTTAGGATCCTGTTGCTTCCATATGTTGACTCTCCTCTAGCACTCATGACATATTATAATTGCTTTTATAATTTTTACTCACTTTTTGTTTCCATTTTCAAT